TGCCGATGCAGGGGACGTGGGTTCGTGCCCCGGTCCGGGAAGATCCCACATGCCGCGGAGCGGCTGGGGCCGGGAGCAGTGGTTGAGATTCCACCTGCCGATGCAGGGGACGTGGGTTCGTGCCCCGGTCCGGGAAGATCCCACATGCCGCGGAGCGGCTGGACCCGTGAGCCATGGCCGCTGAGCCTGCCCGTCCGGAGCCTGTGCTCCGCAACGGGAGAGGCCACAACAGTGAGAGGCCCCCGTGCCGCAAAAAAACCCAAAAAAACAAAACTCCTGTGTATAACGGGAGGCAAAGATAAAAAATCCCATCAGCCTGGTGTCACTGCAGACCAGTTAAATCAAAATCTCTGGAGATGGGCTCTAGGGATTGATATTTTTAAAATCTCCTCAGGAGATTCTAATGCACAGACAGGTTAGAGAAGCACTGGCCTAGGTATATTTTTGTTGCACATAACAGAAACCTGCTAAAGTAACCCAAGGTGGAAATTTTGAAGGAAAAAATTCAAATAAGTTCTAACCAGAACTGGAAAGCACCAAAACCCGAGACACTTCTTCTGTCCATCTCGCATTTTTCTCCTTCTGTGACCACATTTTCTGTTTTCTGCTTTTCTCTGCACATTTAATTATCTCACCCTTTGCAAAACAACTTCTTTTTCTCATTCACTGATTCTGCTCTACTTTTTCATTATTTGTCTTGTCATTGGACCAACTCCCTCCTCCCAACTCTGTATGACCTTTTGGCTTGAACACCCACAGCTCTAGATTCTAGAGAGATTTATTTTCTCATAAGATTTTTAACTTGAAACTAGGAACTAAGGATTCCCCCCACCAAAAAAAATCTTTTTTTTTTTTTTTGGAGAGAAAAAAAGTACTTAAAAATACTTTTCTGCTAACAGGAAATTTGCAATGTAATTTAAAAATCTCCCCACCCACCCAATAAAATAGTAGCTTTCTATTATTAACAAAAGAGAGGGGGAGGAAAAGAAGGGTAAATTTATGGAGAACAGTTTCAATTCCTTTAGTTCTTAAAACTTTCATCTCACAGATGTTTGTCTGACAACCACCTTGATTCCAGAAATTAGTCTTGACATCGCTGAATTCTTCCCTGCTTACATAGCCCAAGCAACACAGCTGTCAGTTCTAACCTGCTATTCAAGAGTTTTCATCTTCTCCCGTTATGACCGGGCAGACCATCTACCTATTTACCCTTTTTAATTTTTCTTACACATATGTGTTTATTTATGACTCCATGCATGCACCTTGCATATCCCGGGACATTCCTGC